TCTAATAGTTCTTCACTTTTGACTGACTATTTTGTAGTCACCAACTATGTCCCCATAAAATATTATTAGTGATTTTAATAAGCAGTATAATATATTAGAATAAAATTTGCGAGGCATAAATTTCTTAAGATATTTGTCCGTTAATATGTAAATTTATTTCTATCTGGAAAGCATAACTACTGACCCGTTTAAGGGATGCTTATACAGGCTACCTTATCTGGGCTTAATCTTTAGCTTTAATAACACAAAATTACACTGAATTATAGAGCGAAATTTGCATTTTGACCAATTAAGCCTATCAATTTTTTAAAAACTTTTCCCGATCACCCAATAAAATGTTTTTAGAAAAAATAATTCTAGCATATGTAATATAAAAAAAGATGATAACTTTGTAATATCGAAGCTTTTGAAATTATCATGAGAAATTACACTGCTATGCTACGTGTTCCGTGAATTGTTCGCTGTTCGGACTAATCCGGAAAATTTTTATTGTTTACTTGTTTACATTTTTTTAACCAATCAAATCGAATGTCCGCCATGCTGCCAATGGAACCAATGGAGCCAATGGGCCAATGGGATCAATGGAATTAGATATTAGTTATAAACAAATACTATATTATAAACTAGTTGGCCTCCATTGGCTCCATTCGCAAATTATTCTCAATGGAGCAATGGAGTGATGCCAATGGAGCTCAGATATGTGTGATTGACCCTATCGAAGGCTTTTACTTGGTCAATCAGAAGCAGCCAATGTTCATCTGATATTTCTCTGCTAGCCCTCATTGTGGTAATAATGTCCAGAACTGAGTCTGTAATTAATCTACCAGCTACAAAACTGTTTGGTGATTGGCAATGTTTTCGTTGCAGATCACATTCAACCTACTTGCAATTATCTTTATAAAAATCTTAGTATCACTGTTGATCAGAATATTGGCAGTTTCTAGTTGTTAATTTTCTCCAGGCCTTTTTGGGTATCAGAATTAAGATGTTTTTATGCTACAATGAAGGCATCCTACCTTCCTTTAAAACCTTATTAAAAACTGCCTCAAGTATTAGTGCCACTCTTTCCGTGAGTATTTTGTAAAATTTATAGGTTAGTCCATCCATCCCTAGTGACTTGTTCCCTAGAAGTTCCTGTATTGCCTGAAGTATTTCCTCTTTGCTAATCAGATGTGTCAGGGTACGGTTCCATTCTTCACTGACCTGAGGTAGGTTGCTTGTGATCCTGTCTAGAGCCATCTTGTCAACCTCTTCTGGCTTGTAGAGCTTTTCATAATAATTCCTAATATGATATAGTAGGGATGTAGTGTGTTCCTTTCATGGCCCTCATCCTCTGGGGGGTTTGATCCTGTCTTGACAGTTTATTGATTTTCTGGTCTTGGTAGAATGCTCACCTTTCTCTATCCATCTTACCTTTGACCTTCTGCACCAGTTTTCTGATATTTTTCCCATTTCTTCCTTCAACTATATTCTGAGAAATTCTAGCTTGCTGCCAGCATTCTTATCTTTGAGTTCCCTGCCACTGTTGCTGCAAGCTTAGTAATCTTATGCAGAATCTCTATTTTTTTCTCTAGTGGTTTCAGTCTTCTGAAGGCCCTTATAATTGATTGAATATTCAACTTGCACAGGTCCTAGTCTTGTGTAGAGCTTTTCTTATTTAACTCCTTTAGTACCTCCTCTAGGATCTTTTCATTTTCAAGACATTCTTTATTGAACTGCCACAGGGGGCTGTGCCTGTTCTTACCCGAAGATTTAAGTGAACATTCTAGAAGCATATAGTCAGAGTTGCCAAATCGCAAAGCAACCTCCTTGACCAAGTGCCCATATTCTGCCTCTACGAAGATGTAATCTATGCAGATAGCCATAGAGCGACCCCTGTGTATTCTGGAAGTATGTTAAAAAAGGTTTTTTTTCTGAACAATCTGCTACATTTATGAAGTCATGTGTTAAGTCCTTCAATAGTTTTCTTGAAGGATCATGTTAAGGTGCCGCATGGCTGAAACGATTGTTTGTAGGGTCTATATTAACATTCAAATCTTCTACCATTATGTTTATTGCTCCTTGCTTTGTCTCCGGAAGCTATGATTTGAGAACTCTACTCTATCTGGTGTATTCAGTGGTGCATAAATGTAGATAATTTGATATTCTTGATCTTTAAAGGCAAATTCCATCTCAATAATTCTTCCTCCATGTGTTATTTTTGTGTTAGAAAATTCTATGTCCTTATTGCCTACTAAGATCGCTGATTTGTTGGACCAGATGGAATCATGGATCCATTGTTTTTTAGGAAGTTCACCACATTCTGGTTATTCATATTGGTTTCTTGCAGGCATATGATATCCAATTTGTACAATTTCAAGAGAGTAAATGTATTTCTCTGTTTCCTCTATCATTTATCCCTTTTATATTTAAAGTTGCTAGTTTAGCTTGATGATCTGAGACATATTAACATAAAGGGTTTGTGTTCCCAGACTAGTGTTGGAATTGGTTCCCAACCCCTTTGTGGTTACTATAAAGAGTTGGTCTCCTGTAGTTTTTTTTCTTGTTATTTCCTCCCTTTTTGGTGTTGGGTTTCTTATAGGTTACTGTTGTGAACCCTTCCATTTCCAAATCTGGGTTATGCAAGTCCTCTTCAGTGTTTGCCATTGGGTCATTGGCCTTAACTTTTTCCAGTTCCTCCTGCAGGTCCCCAGAGTTCCCTTCCCAACTTTATCATATTCCAGTTCGGACAATTTGTTACAAGTTGAAACAAAGGCCTCTTGATTTGTTTTTAATACTGTGTCTTTGCTCTTGCACCTGATTCTGTTTGCTCAATTCATTTTATTGTTTCTATTTGCATGTTCCCCTGCCCAAAATGGGAGGAAACCTTGTTCTCTTTCATATTATCAGTTTCTTCAGCTACTAAGATGCTATTTTTACAGCTATGAAGCAGGACCCCGAAGAATATATGTAATACTGAGATCTGGCTTTGTATAGACTTATATATAATTTTTCCATATGTTATATGTTTAAATTTGTATAACCAACTGGTAATTTTTTGAAAAGTTAGATGTTTATTTGTATAACAAAGACGATCTTTATAACAAGTACGATCTTTTTTTGTATAATGATACTATATATACATCGGGAAAATTTTTAAGTAGATATAAATCGATATATACTGTATGTTGTAGCTACCTTTTTTTGCCGATTTTTAA